TTCTTTCTCTTATAAGTGAGTTAATCTTTTCATCTAGATACCCAAATAATTATTGTTATTAAAGTCCAATAGGTTTGTTAGAATATGCTTCAGTGTTGGCTATTTGGAATTGATTTTTTCCATGCAGTGGAAAGTGCCCTTTTCAATACAGAGTAAGTTTTGTGTTGTCTTCTTTTTTTTTCTTTTTAAGTGAAGAAAGTTATCTTGAATTATAGTGTTTATTATTTACTCTGTCCCAGAGATTTGGCTTTCTACTTTGGGGCTCCTACTAAGTTTATGTTTGATCTTCTTGCCTATCTTTTATATTTTAAAATCTCTTTTCCATTTCTTTTTGATTAAAAAAATTTCCCCCTTTTCATCTTCTCTTTCTTTTTAAGGAAACTCTGTAGGTATTTGCTCTGTGTTTATCTTTGTTTAGTCTTCATTTCTGAGAGTTTTTTCTTTTATGTTTTATCTTTTCCTGAGTCATATATAATTTTAGTTTTTTTCCTATAATTTTGTTTTTTTAAGTCATCTTTTCCAGTCTCTTCATTTGCAGTTTTTCTAATTCTGATGTATGCTGCCCCTTCATTGCTTCTATAATCCTTTTAATTTATTTTGGCACATTTTGAAATATTAAGTTGCTATTTACATCTGCTTTGTAAGCTTGTCTTTCTGGTATGACTCTGTAGGTCATTATTCTGTTCCTTATATCTTTTTTCCTTATAACAACTCTGTATGGGGTGTGACTTCAACACGTTTTATTGTTCATGTTCAAGCAAGATGAATTTTCCTATAGTTTTAGGCTGGAAGGCAGGTCAAAATAGTTTTATCACTTTGTGGCTCTTGAATTCCTTCTGCTGTTTTCACAAAATGATTGGAAATATACATCTGGTCTCTTACTTTCTGATAATTGTTTTCTCTTTCCTTTGCCTCTGTGGTTCCAGTCCTGTTCAGTTTGCTTCTACTACAGCAGCTTCTCATCAGGGCAGGTCTCTCTCCCCGGGAGGAGAACACTGGTTTATTCATTTTGAGAGTTCTCAGGATCCAGAACTCTTTAGCACCATGCCTTCCCTTGTTCACCTTTCACTCATCCATAAGCTGGAGACTGCCAAACCCAATCTGTAACACTCATCTGAGTGAAGGTTCTCAGATTGATTGGCCCTCCAGACTTTCCTATGACCTTGGGGCCAATGTGGGAATTCTTCAGACCCATTGCCTCCCTTCCCTGTCCTCCCACACCATTGCTGATTACCCCACACGTTCTGATGTTTGGTGTTTTCATTGCACTTTGTTCAAAGCACTTTCTAATCTCCGTTGTAATGTCTTCTTTGTCCCATGGGCTATTTATCAGTGTTTTTCTTGATTTCCAAATACATGAGGATTTCCTTTTCTTTTCATTTTTTTAATTTAAATTCAATTAATTAACATATAGTGTATTATTAATTTCAGGGGTAGAGGTCAGTGATTCATAAGTCTTAGATAATACCCAGTGCTCATTATATCATGTGCCCTCCTTAATGTTCATCACCCAGTTACCCCATTCCCTCACCCCCTTGGCCTCCAAGCAACCCTCAGTTTGTTTCCTATGATTAAGTGTCTCATCATTTATCTCCCTCTCTGATTTTGTCTTGTTTTACTTTTCCCTCCCTTCCCCCATGAGCCTCTGTTTTGTTTCTTAAATTCCACATGAGTGAGATCATATGGCAATTGTCTTTCTCTGATTGACTTATTTCACTTAGCATAATACCCTCTAGTTCCACCCACATCATTGCAAATGGCAAGATTTCATTTTTTTGATGGCTGAGTAGTATTCTAGTGTGTGTGTGTGTGTGTGTGTGTGTGTGTGTGTGTGTGTGTGTTTATACACCACATCTTCTTTATCCGTTCATCTGTCAATGGACATCTGGGCTCTTTCCACAGTTTCAGTTGTCTGAAATTAATATAGTTCTACATGTTGGTTAGCGCTCACATGATATATATATATATTTTTTTGTCATTTTATCCCTGTGTCTCTTAATATATTTTCTATATATTCTATACTTTTTTCCCCGCTCTGTACTTAAATTTTGATATTTTGTATTGAATTAATCTTTTTTTTTTTTTTTTTTGGGTCCCAGGCGCCTGGGTGGCTCAGTAGGTTAAGCGTCTGCCTTCAGCTCAGGTCAAGATTTCAGGGTCCTGGGATCGAGCCCCGCATCTGGCTCCCTGTTCAGGAGAGAGCCCGCTTCTCCCTCTGCCTCTGTCACTCCTCCCCGCTCATGCTCTCTCTCTCTTTCTCATACTCTCTCTCACTCAAATAAATAAATAAAAGTCTCTTAAAAATTATTGTGTCCAATCTGTTGTTAATGCACTGTTAGCACTGAGCTCCTAATTCCATGTTTTATTGTTGCCATTTCTCTGGGGGAAATCCCTAATCTTGTCTTTTATATCCTTAAATGTAGTTATTTAAAGTTTGTGGTCTGACAGTTTCATAATCTGGAGGTCCTATGGGTCTCTTTCTTCCATTGTTTGTGCTTTCTCTTGGGCTTTGTTTATGTTGTATCACTGCCTTGTTTGCTCAGTTATTTTATTTTATTTTATTTTACTTTATTTATTTAAAGATTTTATTTATTTGACTTTGACAGAGAAAGACACAGCGAGAGAGGGAACACAAGCAGGGGGAGTGGGAGAGGGAGAAGCAGGCTTCCCGCTGAGCAGGGAACCTGATGCGGGGCTTGATCCCAGGACCCCGGGATCATGACCTGAGCCAAAGGCAGACGCTTAACGACTGAGCCACCCAGGTGCCCCTGCTTGGTTATTTTAAAGTTAAACTTTGGAAAGTGTTGAAAATTGTTAAAAATAATTGTTAGAAATAATCTGAGGCCCAGGATACCAACATTCTGGAACTACTTTAATCCCATTTGATTGAAAGTGATGATTTGAAGCTGGGCCACTGGGCTTGTCAGGGCTGGCTTATTTCTCCTTTTACTCCCAGAGTGAGGACCCATTGCCAAGGGCGGTTCACCAGCATGCCCCGGCCCCAGCCACCCAAGGAATCCGTCAAAAGCACTACATGGCCTCTTGGCCACTTCTTTCAGGACTGGCAAACACCTTGAGGGAGAAAAGCACCTCCAAATGCCAGGCTCCTCTGTCTCTAGGCCTGCATTTCTTCCCTGCTTGTGATGCCTTTAAGTGGATATTTTCTCTTTATCTGGCTCATCTAGGGGTCTGTGGGAAATCTGACCTGAATGATTCCATTTCCCATTACAGGGATGTCTGATTTACATTTTGCCAGATAATTTTGTTAAAATGGAACGGTTAAGGCAGATGCGGGGGACCCAGTAGGAGACCGTTGCAATAACCCAGTGAGAGATGCTGGCGGCTTGGATCTGGGGATGACAGAAAGTGACCAACCAAGAGTGACTCCAACGTTCATGGCCTGAGCAAAGGGATGAATGGCTGTGTCCTTTTCTAAGGTAGCAAAGTAGTAAGGGAGCCATTTTGGGGGGCAGAGTTGGGAAGGAAGTGCAGTTTAGGTCATGTTAAGAGTGAAATGCCTCAAATAAAAACATAAGAAACAAACAAACACACCCAAGCCAATCCAAAAAAAAAAAAAAATGAAATGCCTTAGACACCCAGAGGAGTCATCTTGTGAATGGCTGGGGATGTGTCTGGAGTTTAGGCGAGAGGCCTGAGCTGGAGATAAAACTTGGGGGTCATCAGTGTGGAAGTTGCATTTTAAGCTCTGAGCCAAATTAGCTCATCTGGGAGAAGATATAGGTGTACAAGGACGGAGGACTGAGCCCGAGGCCCCCAGCAGCATGAGGCCAGGGAGGTGGGGGGAAACGAGAGCGTGGTGGGTGGTGGTGGTGGGAGCGTGTCTTCTGGAAGGTGAGTGCAGAGAGCACTTCCGAGGCAGGGAACAATGGGTCAGATGAGATGAGGCTTTTGTGATGGGAATTGTTTTTAAAAAATTGTTTTCCAGTTTGTCTTTTGTTTTTGTTTGTGGTGTTTTAATCTTATGAAGCCTCTGTGTCTCTCTCTGCCTGGATGTGACCATCTTCATTGTGTCATGCTGCTGGCTTCCACCCTTTTCCCTGTTCCCACATTCCGTGTGTCCATGCTGTAGCCCTGTGTGCCCACGGGTAGGCCCAGAGCAGGGACATGTGGCTCAGGGGAGGCTGTGGGCCCAGGGTGGATTGGTCAGGCTGAGGTGCCCGAGCCAAGGGAGGCCCTATGGGGTCAGAGGTCCTATGGGGTGTGGGAGGGCAACCAGTTCCACTCCCTCTTTGGGCCTTGGTTTCCCCATCTGGTTTAAATGCTTGCTTCCTTGAAGTGCTGGGGAGGACTCCTGAATGTGCAGGAAGAGGCGGCCCCCCCCCCCCCCCCCGTGAACTGGGCAGGGCTGTGCCCTAGGAACAGGGTCATTTCCTCAACACAGACCAGTCTGACTAGCACCTTGGAGCTAAAAGGCCCACCCCTTGGTGCCCACGGACAAGTGGTAGACTGAGACCAGAGAATATTCCTGCAGACACTGGGGCCCCAGGAGGGGCTGGAGAACTCATTAGCCCAAGCCCCTGGTGGCAGGGCAAGATCCTGGGGTCACCTGAAAAAGTCCAGTCTTAAAAGGGTTGGGACCTGTTGTAGCCCCACTGGAAAGCGGATTGAGGGCTGCCTAGGCTGGGCTCCCGGACTGCTGGGAGGGACTGGGGGTCTGGCCCAGGCAAATGAGCCAGGGCTGCTGGGAGCGGCTAAGGAATAATGGCTGCAAAAGCACAGCGCAAACTGAGAAATACCTTATATAAGGCAAGGGCGAGTGTAAATGGTATTACAATTTGCAATCAGTAGAGGGCTCTGGACCTGTGAGCAGCTGGACTTGAGGGGGCAGCCCAGTGTGGTCTCTGACTTAACCCAGAGTTTGGTGACAGCAGATGGTCACCCACCTGTCACCATTCCCCGGTAAATGCCCGCTGAACAAGCCCATGTTGGGAGGCTGGGGCTGGGGAGCCAGGCTTCTTATTCTGTGCCGTGTCCCCTAGAGCCATCCTCCAGCAGCATGGCTCAGCTGTGGATGCCACCATTGCGGCTCTGGTCTGCACCGGAGTCATCAACCCTCAGAGCATGGGCCTGGGCGGAGGGGTCATCTTCACCATCTACAATGCAACCACAGGTGAGTTCATGCCGGGGACCCCACGGGGACGACAGGCATGTCCACAAGCACTAACAGGGAGGTGCTTACAAACATCCTAAGTGTTTGCCTAGCTGTCCTGTGCACCCATGGCCTTTCTCGGGTCCTCTTGGTGCCCCCCACTTCTTCTACCTTGTCTTTGCAAAGCCACCGCAGCCTATCTCAAATAGGAACATTGTCAGGGAGGAAGAAATTCTTCTGCCCTTCAAGGTCCTTCTAGCTGGACTAAGGATTAAATTGACATGAGATAAATTAACAGGACAAAATCGAATTTAATTTCCCATGTATGGAGAATGCACACAGACATGGAAATCCCAAAGACAGACAAAATGAGCTAAGGAGAAGGGGGTAGGGGTCTGGGACTTCAAAGGGAAGGAATGCAATTCACGGCAAGATAAAGAATAAACTGTTTGCAGGGCCACTGGGCAACAATGGGGCACAGAGGACTTTTACCAAAGGCCTTGCAAGATCCCTCCCTGTTGCCCCTTACTAGTTCATATCCTACTGTAGTTATCTATGGTGATGGCTCTCTTCCTGGAGCAGGTCCTCTGTCTAAATTCTTTCAGGCAGCAGTAGCGGGGGAGGTAAAAACTCTTCGGGATTCTGCTGGGTCTTAATTGCTTTTAACTCAAAAATAATCTTCAAGCCAAAGTGGCTCATCTTTGGGTGGCCTGCTCTTGGCCCCTACAGCACAGGGACCCGTTCAAAGTACAAAGAGAGAAACTGAGGCTAGAGCAGGACCAGGGCCATATGAGGGGTGACTATGGTGTGGGGCGAGGACTGGCAGCCCCAGGAATGCCCCTGAGCACTCACATGCCCTGCCCCAACTCTAGGGAAGGTGGAAGTCATCAATGCCAGGGAGACAGTGCCGGCCAACTACGTCCCAGGCCTACTGGACCAGTGTGAGCAGGCTCAGCCGCTGGGCACAGGTGAGGCCCTTGGAGGGGCCACCTTCTCTCATCCCACCAGGCCACTGGAGCTGATCAGAACCCTCCCCCGAAGGGGCTTTGTGGATAGGCTGTGCAGCTATTGAATGGGGAGCCCCCATGGAGGTCCTGACCCACCGGAGTTGGGGGAGACTTCCTGGGACGGGACTGAGTAGGGAGTGGTGATCCAAGCAGAGGGACCAGCCTGGCAAAGGTCTGGAAGGTTCAGTGGAGATGGGGTGTTGGGTGGGGTAGGGGGTCCTGGGGCCCGTTTGTGCTGGGCCCTGATGGAAGGCAGTGGGGAGCCACGGGGCGGTGACAGGGTGGGACCAAGTCAGGTGTGGGCTCCAGAAAGCTCATTCTGGCTGCCATGCCAGGGGGACCGAGCGGGTGGGGCGAGTGTGGGCGTGGAGAACCCCTGCGGAAGGCTAGGGGGCTGAGGGCAGGGACATGACACCACTGTGCCTTGCAGGGTCCCAGTGGATTGCAGTGCCGGGGGAGCTCCGCGGCTATGCTGAGGCCCACCGCCGCCACGGCCGCCTGCCCTGGGCACGGCTCTTCTGGCCCACCATCTCCTTGCTCCGAGGGGACTACCGCATGCCCTCCATCCTCAGTCAGTTCCTGCAGAACGACTTCCTACGGCCTTCCTTGTACAAGACATCCCTGAGGTGAGCCCTTCCCCAAAGCGTCCCTGGGCCCCTGCTTGGCTCCTGAGTCCAGACTATGGCCTGTCTGCCTGGCTCCCACCCCAGTCCCACCTCAGCCCCTCCTTGAACTGGAGCAGGGTGGACCCTGTGCAGGTGTTGGGGGCCCGAAGGCCAGGAAAGCCAGTACTTTGCGGTCTCGGTTGCCAGACCTTTGAGCAAGGTGGCAGCATAATCAGAGGGGCTCAGGCCAGAAGGGGTTTATATCCAAGTGATGCGACTCCAAGATGTGGATTTGGGCTCGGCCACCGCCCTCCGGCCCCTCCCTTCTTCTCCACCCCCCAAGCCCGTGCCCGGCCACTGCCCCTGTCTTCCCAGGGCTGTCCGGGGCCTGAGGAGGGAGCATGCCCTCCCCCAGCCAGGGTGATGAGTGAGGTGAGAGGCTTCAGCCTTCCAGTCCTAGAGGAACCGTCTCCCCTGATGTCTACACCAGCCCCTCAGGACCCCAGACCAGGACTGCCTCCCTGTAGGGTCCCAAGGAAGCCAAAAGAGCCCCTGCAGGAGTGTGGCTGCCTCCCGGGGCCCCGCTCCACCCTGAGGCTGCCCCCCACCTCCCCAGGCAGCTCTTTTTCAACGGCACAGAACCCCTGAGGGCTCAGGACCCATTCCCCTGGCCCGCACTGGCTGCCACCCTGGAAACCGTGGCCACGGAGGGAGCAGAGGCCTTCTACACAGGGACGCTGGGCCAGATGCTGCTGGAGGACATTGCCAATCAAGGTCAGCTGCGCTGAGGCCCCAGAGCCCCCAGCCCTGCCAGAGAAGGAGTTGGGTTCTGGGTGCTAGGGGTGAAGGCAGGCCCTTCCCCAAGCCCCGCCGGAATGTCAGCTGCTCCCAGGACTTGGGGAGGCCAGGCATCCAGGCCTGCCCACTGCTGGCCTCAAGGACCCTGTGGTTGGGGCCCTTGAGGAGCAGAGCTCCCCATAAATTAGGGAGTTAGTGGTGGCCACAGGGGGCCACAGGGGGGGGGGTCACAGTGGGCTCCTGGGCCTGGAGCTGGCCACCCTCACAATCTGTCAGAGGCAGGCTTCCTCTCTCACCTTCCCGTCCTCTGCCCACCAACCTGCCCGCCTCTGGCCTCTGTCCACCCATCCCTCACCTGGCTCTAGGGCCCAGCCCGGACAGCACTGCCTGCAGACCCTCCACCACCCCTAGGGCTCTCGGAGGCTAGTCGGTGTGGGGAGGAGCCCCACCCCGTGACCGGGGATCAGGGGCTGTCACTCTGCCTGTTTTCCCATCCGTACATGGGGTCTCTTCTGTCTCGCCTCAGGCAGCAGGCTGACCCTGCAGGACCTGGCCTCCTTCCAGCCAGAGGTAGTGGATGCCCTGGAGATGCCCCTGGGGGACTACACCCTGTACTCACCGCCACCACCTGCAGGGGGCGCGATTCTCAGCCTCATCCTCAACGTGCTCAAAGGTAAGACTCCCCGCGCTCCCACCCAGAGTCCTGCCCCACTGGGAGCTCCGAGCCCAGCTGTCGCTTTGGGCCGCCTTCCTTTTCCGGCTCAGCCCCTCCTCGGACACCAAAGATGGGGCTGTGGAAACGGGGCCTCTGGCGCAGTCCACGCTGGGGGCGGGCGAGTCTGCCCCACAGGTGGGCTCTGCAGGCGGTGAGCGGCCTGGTCAGCGGGTGCATCCAGGGCTGAGGCCTGGCCTGTGGGATGGCGAGGGGGGTTCCCGGCGTGCCCAGGGTTGGAGCTGCCCGCGGCTGCCTGTGTCACTTCCCTGTGACTACCGTGACAGAGTACCACAAACTTGTGGCTTAAAGCAACAGAAATCTATTTTCTCTTAGTTCTGGAGGCCAGATGTCCAAAATCAAGGTGTCAGCCGATCCATGTCTCCTCCGGGGACTCTGGGGGACAATCTTTGTCTCATCCAGCTCTTGGTGGCTGCAAGCGCTCCCAGGCTGCGGCTGCATGCCCATCTCTGCCTCCTGCTCACTCACACAGCCTCACCCTCTTCTCTGTGTGTCTGTTTTATAAGATTACATTTAATTGTGTGATTACATTTAGAGCCCACCCGGATAATCCAGGATAATCTGCTCTTCTCAAGATCCTTAACTTAATCACACATTTTGCCATATAAGGTAAAATTCACTCTTTTGCCATTTAAGGTAGTATTCACAGGTTCTGGGGATTAGGACATGGACAGATCTTTTTTGAGGGGGGGCCAACATTCCACCCACGACAAAGGGTGACCCCGACCTGCACCCGTCCCCTCCCCAGTGTTCAACTACTCCTCGGAGTCGGTGGCCAGGTCCGAGGGGAGTGTGAACTTGTACCATCACCTTGTGGAGACACTCAAGTTTGCCGGGGGACAGAGGTGGCGGCTGTGGGACCCCCGCAGCCACCTGGATATCCAGGTGAGGCAGCCTATGGCCGCTGGAGAGCCCCCTTCCCAGCCCAGGGCTCAGCATGAAGGGAAGGTGAGGCTGTCCCTGGACCCCGAGAGTGTGACTGGGTGAGGTTGGAGGGATGCGTACAGAATTTTAGGGCAGGACAGCCTGGCAGTGGCCCAGGGCAGGGAGGGTGAGGCAGGTCTGTGGACTAGAAGGGGCCCCAAAGTGGCAAGTACTATAGGGACAGTGTTGGCACCATACCTCAGAGGGCCTGGAGGATGGGCCGGGTCTGGGGGTAGCCTGGGCTCGAGCAGCACGGACTGGGGAGGGCCTCCCAAGGGACCCTCTTCTCTGTGGGCCCCCCCGGCCCCTCACTGACCCTGCCACCTGCCCGGCCACCGCAGAACGCCTCCCAGGACCTGCTGGGAGAGGCTTTGGCCCAGCATATCCGCCAGCAGATCGACGTTCGGGGTGACCACCCTCTCAGCCACTACAGCCTGGCCGGGGCCTGGGGCCACAAGATGGGCACGTCGCATGTGTCTGTGTTGGGGGAGGATGGAAGCGCCGTGGCAGCTACCAGCACCATCAACACGCCGTATGTGCCTGCCTGGCCCCAGGCCCCGCCCCTTTGCCCCCTCAGCTGGTTTGACGAGCCCCCGGGGTCCCCTTGCTTGTGTCCATGGGGCAATACCTTGCTTTTCCCTTTGCTTCTTCCTGTCCGTCAGAGGGGCCATCCACCTCTGTCTTCTCCGGCTGAGAGGCTGCTGATGGGTGGCCCGGAGCCAGGACCTGCTTGGGCATGAGCTCTCCCCAGAAGGACACCCTGATGGGGGGCACAGGTGGATCTTTGGGGGCGAGTGGCAGCTCCGGCATGCTAGCAGGCTGTCGCGAACACGAGGGGCTCAGGCACCCGTGCCAGGCTGGGAGCCCAGACTCCGCCTCTGCCCGCAGCTTTGGAGCAATGCTGTACTCACCACGCACGGGCATCCTGCTCAACAACGAGCTTCTGGACCTATGCTGGAGGCGCCCCCCAGGCTCCAAAGTCACCCCCCAACCCGGTGAGCCTGAGGACCCCACTGGTGAGAAGAGGGAAGGTGGGCAGCCCCTGGGCCAGCCCCAGTGTGCACAGCGGTGAATGGAGACACAGACGGAGGGGGGTTCCGGAGGGTGCTCGCTGAAAGTGAGGCCGCAGGTGACACCCGTCCGGCCTCCAGTTCCAGGCGAGCGGCCTCCATCATCCATGGTTCCCTCCATCTTGGTCAACACAGCCCAGGGGTCAAAGCTGGTGATCGGTGGGGCTGGTGGGGAGCTCATCGTCTCTGCCGTGGCCCAGGTGAGTCAGGGAGCTCCTGGCTGGAACTTCCGCTCTCCCAGGGCCGGGGAGGGGTTGGTGTACGGTGGCCCGTGGCTGGTGGCCCCTCCCTCCCCTCCTGTGTTCTCTTTCTCTCCCCCAGGCCATCATAAACAAGCTGTGGCTTGGCTTTGACCTGAGAACTGCTATTGCAGCCCCTATCCTGCACGTCAACAGCAAGGGCCATGTGGAGTATGAGCCCAACTTCAGCCAGGTAAGGCCACTGTCCCTGCCACCACTGGGACAGATGCCTCAGTGCATGCTGCTCAAAGCGCCCCCGTGGGATCTCAGCCCCTGAGTGTCTTAGGCTGGGCACACTTCCCCTGTTGGGGCCATCGGCAGGTCAGAAGCTCAGTGGGGAAGGCACCAGGCCAGTCTTATGGCCTCCAAGGCAGAAAACAGGGTGTTGTCCATGCTTCTCCCCCAGGCCAAGCACCTCTGCACATTGGTCTCCGCTCTGTTCTGTTCCCTCTAGGCGCTAGTGTTCTTGGCTGTGGCCTCTCGGACTCTCTCTCATGATGATCTGTTTCCTTGTATGACTTGTGGCTTTTCTGTGTGAAGTTGAATTGTAAGAGTATTATTCTGTGACAGTCTGCATAGTGATGTCCTTTTGAGGCATACGGGTCACGTTAGTGCTGGTGCTTACGAACATTTCTTGCTTCCCCCCACACAAGCAGGTCCCCAGAGCTAAATTCTCTCATCCAGACCCCTGCCTAGCCGATAGTCATGTCCCACAGAGCTTCTCTGGGCGGACAGACACCCTTTGCTAAGGTCTAATTTAAAAGTCTGGCAGCTTTTAGGGCGCCCAGGTGTCTCAGTTAGTTAAGCATCTACCTTCGGCTCAGGTCAGGATCCCAGCGTCCTGGGATCGAGTCCCACAACCGGCTCCCTGCTCAAGCAAGGAGTCTGCTTCTCCCTCTCCAACCACCTCTCCCCTGCTCATGCTTTCTCTCTCTCTCTCACTTGCTCTCGTTCAAATAAATAAATAAAATCTTAAAAAAAAAAAAGTCTGGCAGCTTTGGAAGGCTCTGAGCTTCATGCCTGGGGTCCGTTCAGCCAGCTGGGGTTTAAGGCCCTCAAAGCTGCCTTGTCCGTGTAAGATGCTCTTGGTGCCAAGGCTTCCTCTCATGGCGCTCAGAGCACTGAGGACCATAGAGTGAGGAAATTTACTCCAAGGGAGTGTGTAGTTCCTGAGAACTTTGGCCTTGGGGGCTGGAGACTAAGGACTCTCAGAGTCTGAGGCGCTCCCTCCCTATACAGGGTACTCCCCACGGTGTCCTCAGATCCAGGCCAGAAATGATCTTGCATCTCAAGCTCCCTCTGGCCTGGGTGATGTCCTCCCTGCCATGCTTCCTGGAGCCTGGCTTCTCCACTGGGACTTTTTGTGGGAGGCCACAGACTCCAGGCCCTCCAGACGAGGCTACACCCAGTGCCCTCCCATCCTCACCGCGGCTGATGCCCAGTCCTGCCTTCTCAGTCGGGACTCAGATCTTTGCCCGGAGCCCCGTCCCCTCGACAGGTGGAGCTAAGCCGTCTTCACCTGTGCACTGGCCTTCTCTCCCCTCCAGGAGGTGCAGAAGGGGCTCCGGGCCAGGGGCCACAACGAGACCAAGAGTCCCTTTTTCCTGAATGTGGTCCAGGCTGTGTCCCAGGACGGGGCCTGTGTGTATGCCGCAGCGGACCCGAGGAAAGGTGGGGAGGCCTCAGGCTACTGAGGACACTGCTCCTGAGAGCTGCAATCCGGCCCACCGTCAGTGTGTGCCCAGGCTGGCCTTGACCATGGGACCAAGCACTCAGGCAGGATCTGGACTCTTTGGTGGAGGGTCGGCCTAGGGCTACAAGAGGTGGGGACAGCCTGGAAGATGGACGACTGTGGGGGCTGAGCTGTCTCCCCGAGCCCCTTGTGGCCCTGCCCTGACCCCCAAGCCTTCCCTAGGCCTCTCACCCAGGACTGTGGCCTACCCTCCCCCCAGGCCCCACTCCCCATCTGTATACCCTCTAGTCCAAGATTAAAGAGGAGGGTGGATCTCAGCCTGATTTGGGGTCTAGGTGTGGGAAGGCAGCCTTAGAAAGCACACACACTGAGCTCCTACAGTCCTCCACAACACAGCAGCATGGAGGGGTGGAAACTGAGACCTAACGGAGGCAGCACCCTACCACCTGCCGGGCCTCTGCAGGACGGCTGTCCGGGGCCTGCCTGGTGGTGGGAAGGCAGGGCTGCGGCCCTGACTCTTGCCAGGCCTTAGGACCATCTCTGGATCTTGCCCTCTGTGCCAGGAGAGGGTTGGGTGAAGTAGGACCCCACCCCAGTCCCCAGCCCCAACAATTGCCCGTGTTCTCACACTCAGCACTGTTGCCATTTTGAGTGAAATAGTCTTTGCTGGGGAGCTGTCCCCCCATTGCTGTGTGTTGAGCAGCATCCCTGGCTTCTACTTGCTAGGTGCGGCAGCACCTACTACCACCACCAGTGGCCAAATCATCCCGAGTTGAGAATGGCTCTCCTGGACCCATTAGCCCCCAGTTGCTGAGATGGCTTTACCAGTTGCTGGGGGGACTGCCCTCCCTAAGAGTGCCTCGCTGGACTGGCCTGGGGGTCCTGCCCCACACGGGTTCCTGGGAGCATTGGGTGTTACCCCAGCGTCCTGCAGGGGCATACCTCCACCTGGCAGGGTCTGAGGCCTGGTTCCACTGCTGAGCCACGGCCTCCCACCCTGCTTTTCCTATTTGGCCAAGCAGGACGGGAGTGGCTATTATTCCCCTGGGGCTGCTGAGACAAAATACCACGGAGTGCCTTCAGACTACAGAAATCTATGCTCTCACAGGCTAGGAGTCTGAAATCAGTATCATCGGGCTGAGAGCAAGGTGTAGGCAGGGCTGAGTTCCCTCTGGGGGCTCTAGGCAGAATCCTTCCTGCCTCTGCCCACTTTTGGTGGCTGCTGGGCTCCCTTGCTTTGTGGCCACATCACTCCAGCTCCTCCCTCTGTGGTCATGTGGCCTTCTCCTCTGCATGTGAAGGCTCCTTCTGCTCTGGGCGGGTCTGGGTGGAGAAGGTGCCCCCAAAAAGGGGGTAAGGACACCTGTGGGCATCTAGGTCCCATCCAGATAACCCAGGATACTGTCTTGCCTCAAGATCCTTAACTCAGTGGCAAAGTCACTTCTGCCATATAAGGTAATACTGACAAGTGCCGGGGATCAGGACAGGGACCTGATGTCAACCACACATGGGGAGAGGGGGCTGGATGGGGCAGATCTCTGATCTGAGCTTGCCTGCGAGGGTATGGGGGGGTGGCATTCTGACAGACTCCAAGAGAAAGGACTGGGGACAGGGGTGGCTGACTTTGAGAAGGCGGACAGGCCTGCCATGGTCACTGTGCTCTGTGGTGATCTCAGGGCCACTCACTGTTGCACTCAGCCAGCCTGGAGGTCACAGCTCTCCCAGAGTCTGACTTTGGGAGGGAGTAGGAAGAGGAATTTTGGGAAGGGCAGGTCTGGTCCAAGAGTCAGGGGTGCAGAAAAAGTGGGCTTAGACAAGCAGGAGTGGGAGGGCAGTTTCTGACCTGGTGGGGTCCACAGTCTTGCCCTGTGCTGTCAGGAGCATCCGTAGCGTGGCCTCCGCCTAGGGGAAGCACCTTGGTCACTGTCCCGATGACTCTAGCACATCGCTCACTGAACTTCACAGCCAGCGGGGGTGACAGAGCTCCCCTCCACGCTGCTTTTGAGGCTTAACAAAAGTCTCAGGTGCAGCTCTCATGGACCTAGCGGGTCTCTCCCTGAGGCTGTTACCCCTCATGAGCTGATGGGTCCCCACCCCAGCTCTGTCCCAGGTTTCTGGATCATCAGACCCCACACCCACACACCAACCGGAGCCACAGGCACCTTGGACTCAACACACCAAACTGGAAGCCAGCTCTGAGGCAACCAGAGGCTCTCTGGTGTCCACTTCTCTCATTCCGGGCACCCAGTCCTCTCTCTCCCTCTGTGTGGCTCAGGCCTGGCTCCATCTCCTTATCCCTCTCCACCTCCTTGCTGCTGCCACGGCCTCCATCCACTCCCCACTCATGCCTTGGAAAACGCATACCTGATCCACGAGGCAGCACGGAGCTCTCCTTGGTTCCTGGTGCCCCTGGAGGAACCGCACTCCTCTCCCTCCCTGCTCATCCCACCCAGCCCGTGCCCACATCCCACCCGGACCACCAGCAATGCCAGTGATGCCGTTTACACAGCCCAGTCAGGGACTCTTACAGCTGGCTCTTTGAACGTCTGGTTACACAGGGGCAATCAGACCCAGGGCTGCAGTATCTTCAAAATAACACTGGCATAGTACAGATCAGCCCCTACAGAATGCAGGTACTGCAGGATCAAAGGAAAATTCATTGCCTTAAGCAACTACATTAACAATAAGAATCAAAATGAATAAAGTATCTAAGTGAAAGTTAGTGAAGGAACAGTCAGAGCAATCAGGAAAGCAGGAGGAAAGGCTCAGTAACAACAGCAGAGATTGATAAATCTGAAATCAGAAAAACAGGTCTTTGAAAAAAAGATAGGTTTCCAACAGCTTACAGTACAAATGAAGAAATGACAACGGGGAAATGAGTTAAGATATAGAGGAAGTTAAAAGATCATTCATCCAAATAAATTTGGCTAGTTCAATAAACGACTTTCTAGGACAATGTAAGTAGGGTTGCAATATGTGAGACTTACACTGAAAATGTTATCTGAAATTCAAATTTAATTGGGCATCCTATATTTTTGTTTGCTAAATCTGGCAACCTTAAATATAAATGACAGATCTAACAAAGGGCAAAGATCTAGATGTGACAACAATCATCAAAAAAAAAATTAAGAACATTGCAGGAACACTAGCCTACCTCAGACACCCTTCTAGAAAGTTCCTCAGGTGAAGTGTGTCCCGCCAGCTAAGCCCCCACAGTGAGGCGCAAGAAGGAAAATGTCCACACTCAACTTTATGAAGCCAGCAAAGGACTGATCCCAAACCGGCCAAAGCGAACCACGGACCCGTCGTGTTTATGAAACTCAACACGAAGTTCCTAAAAACTGTTAGCAAGGAGAATCTAGCAACGCATGAAAACATGACATGTCCCTCCTCCCCCAGTGGGGTGGATACCAGCGCTGCAAGGAAGGTCTTCTCTCGGTGTGTCCATGAGCGTGACTTACTTCTTATTTTTCACCCTGAGGAGAAAAGGTTTATCTCCACAGAGAATGAAGGAGCATTTGGGAAAATTCAATAACACCCATTCTTTTTTTTTTAAGATTTTATTTATTTATTTGAGAGAGAGAACATGAACAGGGGGAGGGGCAAGAGGGAGAAGCAGGCTTCCCAGCTGAGCAGGGAGCCTGGGGTCATGACCTGAGCCAAACAAAGGCAGAGGCTTAATGACTGAGCCCTCCAGGCGCCCCTCAACACCCATTCTTGATAAAAACGGACAAAAAAGAAAGAAAGAAACCCACCAAAAAAAAACCCACCACTGATTAAAAGGGGAATGAATGGATACTCTTTTAATATGAATATATGTCCCAAGGCAACAATAGCAACCTCCTCTGGGCATTGACTGTGGGCTGGGTACTAGTCTATTGCTTTACGTGTATTAACTCAATTCATATAATTCTCCTTAATGAAGTGGAGCTATGATTATCCCAGTTTTACAGACGAGGATCCTGAAGTCACAATGGACCAACGGTCATGCAGAATAAATGCCAGAAGTGAACGCCCGATACACTGCTGGAGAAAAATGAATCTTGACCCCTACGTCACACCGAATATAAAAATAATTTAAGATGATCTTAGGAGGGGCGCCTGGGGAGCTCAGTTGGTTAAGCCTCTGCCTTTGGCTCAGGTCATGATCTCAGGGTCCTGGGACCAAGCCCCTGGTCAGGCTTCCTGCTCAGCAGGGAGTCCGCTTCTCCCTCTCCCCACCATCCCCCCTCATGCTCTCTTGCTCTCTCAAATAAATAAAACGTCTTTTTTTAAAATCAAGTAAACAAGTCCATCCAAATTTGTTTTAAAACAAATTATAAACATACAGTTGTTAAAGCAGCATATAAATAAACCTAAGAAATCATGGGGCGCCTGGGTGGCTCAGTCGCTAAGCGTCTGGCTCAGGTCATGATCCCAGGGTCCTGGGATCGAGCCCCCCATCATCGGGCTCCTTGCTCGGCGGGGAGCCTGCTTCTCCCTCTCCCACTCCCCCTGCTTGTGTTCCGTCTCTCGCTGTGTCTCTCTCTGTCAGATAAATAACATCTTACAAAACAAAACAAAAAACTCAATGGACCACAGTACAAATTCCACAGAGACGTAAATAAACATGGAAATCTTGTCTCTGCTAAAGGAGCATTTCAAAGCAGTAAGAAAAGGATTGTTAGCAATACCTATTGGAACAAGTGGGCAGCCACCTAGGAAAATAACGAAGTGGGATCCCTACCTTTTTATTTACACCAAAATAAATTCCAGCTGGGTCAAGATGGAAGTGTTAAAAGTGAAACCATATAGATTTATATAAAAAAAAAAAACAAAACAAAACCTCGCAAGGAAGTTTTATTTATATTCATAGAGTGGGGAAAGCCTTTTCAGGCATGACATAAAAACAAGAAGTAAAAGAAAAAAAAAACAGATATATTTGAACACATAAAAAGTAAAAATTTTGATGTGGAAAACTTCTTTAAAGACCGACAAACATTTGCAATGATGTGGCTGGAGCTAGAGTGTAGTAAGCGAAGTGAAATCAGTCAGAGGAAGGCAAATACCATATGATTTCACTCATATGTGGGATTTAAGAAACAAGAAAAACAAGCAAAGCAAACAAGAGAGGAACCAAAAAACAGACTCTTGACTAGAGAGAACAACCTGGTAGTAACCAGAGGAGAGATGGGAGGGGGATGGGTAAACTAGGTGATGGGAATTGAAAAGTACATTTACCATGATGAGCATCGAGTAATGTACAGAATTGTTGAGTCACTATATTGTACGTCTGAAACTAATATAAT